AAAAATGGCCATGAGTACCATTCACAGAGAGTTGGGGAATGGCTGCAATCACAGCATAAGATGGTGACAGATGTACCCTTAGGCCCCCTCCTCCATTCAGAGATGGTCTTTCCCTTTTCACGTAAATGGCCTCCTTGACTCGGCGCTCAAAACAGCGTTCCTCCCTGTCCAGGATGTTACATCCTCATCATTGAAAGATGATTGCAGCCATTCCCCAACATTCCCCAACTCTCTGTGAATGGTACAGAGTACGGCCAATTTCTCAGCCTCGCACTCTGTCTTCGAAGGATGCGGCCTATGAATTGACACATACCTTTAATCCATAGGTTTCAATATGAAGTCAGCTAACTCTTTGCAGCTATAGCAGCTACCCCCAAGATTAAGGTGGGAATTGTTTTTTGTTTCGTTTTTTTACCATTGTTCCAGAAGTGCATTTGTGAGCCCAGAAACTAATGCTGATGAGGCCTGCCTCACAGTCTGCTCTAATTTATCCCAAAGGTGTCCTGTCAAGTTGAGGTCAGAAATCTGTGCGTGCCAGTCAAGTTCTTCCAAACTCCCTCAGCAAGGTCTTTATGGATCCTACTGCTGCGCAATCATGTTGGAACAGGAAGGGTCATCCTCAAACTGTTCCCACAAAATTAAGAGCGTTGAAATGTCCAAAATGTCTTGGCATGCTAAAGAGTTCCTTTGTGAGGTCAGAGACTCATTTTGGATGAGATGTCTGTGAAAGTTCCTTTGATTAGAACTAAGGTGCCGGACTCAATCGTGGACAACAACCCCACTCCACAGTCTCCTTCGTCTTCATGGAAACCCCCAAAAGTTGATTCTGTTCATCTGGACGTAGCGTTTTGTGGGAGAAACGTTTCGTCACCCATCCAGGTGACTTCTTCAGTCTCAGCTGACTGCAGGTTTCAATCTTATAAACGGTACATTTGCATAATGACTAAAACCAGCCCACTGAAGGAACAATGGGCTGGGAGGTCAGTTCCTTAATCTTAATTATGCAAAGTCTCATGACCATTGATCAAAGACCACTGATAAATGGCCATGAGTACCATTCACATTGTGACGTTTCTCCGACTGAAAACTCTACGTCCAGATGAACAGAATCAACTTTTGGGGATTTACCCGGATGATTGAGCCTGCATCAAGAAGTTTCATGGAAACCCATTCCATGAAGCTCTCTACACACTGCTCTTCAGCTAATCTGACAGTCACATGAAGTTTGGAGGCACTATATGCCTCAAAATCCATTGAACCTGCTCTGTCATTTTCTGTGGCCTACCACTTTGTGGCTGAGTTCCTGAATGCAGTGATTTGAATGGGTGTGTCAATACTTCTGGTAATATATTTGTATATCAGGCAGCATTAACCGCATTACATTAAATACTGATATAATTTATATGCATATTTTATTTCTGTTAGGACTTCCAACTCTTGTGACAAAGTGTAATAAGTACTTGTTAAAAAAAAAAGTACATCCTTATGGTGGGGTGTAGTTTGTGGTCTGATCCACTTTAAGAGTCTGGGATATCTGGCACGTTGTTAGGGGCCTTCAGTCCCTGTACAACCTGATTTGTATTGCCGGCAGCAAGTCGGACTTGTTTCTGATAGGTGGCAGATTCCGTCAGGGATGCCCTGTCACCACTTGTGTTTATAATTATTATGGTCAACATATAGTGGTGGGAGTCTCCACGTTAGCGACCTCGGGATTTCATCTTTGCTTTTTGCCAGGTCAAGGACAAATTACTACCCCAGGAAGGACGACGTGATTAGCGACAACTTTGCCAAATGTTTTTGAAAGCAGTCGTGAATTAGGCGTGAAATCCTCTAAAACAGTGGAAAGCAGGGAGGGTTATAATAAGCTGAGAGAAGATGCTGACTATTTTACAGTAACCTGGAGTGAAGAAATAGATTGATTTATAATAAAGTGAAGACGGGGGAGATGTCAGATAGAACCTCTTTAATGAATTTAGGAAAGTTATTGTAGGCTGGAGAGGAAGAAGTGGGCATATCAAGGAGACATGGAGGCATGGAAAGCAGAGTAAGCGGGATTCGTGAGTCTGCCGATGGTGTCAACCAGGAACGATGACAATCAATGTTAAATGAACTAGTAAAATAAGATGGTTTTATTCATCTAAAGAGCTGGTTGAACATGGGTAGTAACTCCTAAGCAGGAGGAGGTAGTGAACATGGAGATCAGTGATTTCCACCTGTGGTCAGCTTTTGCACACTCTTCTGTGGTAACAGATGTGATTGGTGCTCCAGGGTGAAAGATTGGGGCTAATCTGGCTTTTATCAGTTCTCCACAGTCCAGAACTGATAAACATTGAATATTAAACCAATTAACTAGATCGTTAACATCCGAAAAATGAGGTGTAGATAGAGATTAGAGAGGAAAGCTGACAGGCCAAGAGCAAAATCCAGATCCACTGTGGGCTCACCAACATGTTGCACCAAAAGTGAATGATTTTGCAATGTTAAGATACATCTCCGTATCTATGCAGTTAGAGATTATCAGTATGTAATTTTAAGTCTCCTATCACAATGATTCTGAAAATCGCTGTAGGTGTCATGGTCCTGAGTCTGACGACTCAGTGTTTGGTGTTTCTTTATATCATCCTATGTTCTTGTTTATTCTGTTATGTCTTTTGTTTTATGCCTGCCTGTGTTCCCTCGTCTGTCCATGGTGTCTGCTTGTAAGTCTGTTAAGTTCAGTGTCTTCTCAGGTCCTCTGTGTCTGTTAGTTTCCTGTTTTATTCTGAAAGTCCTTGTCTCATGTTCAGTTTACGTTTCCCCTGTCTCGTCAGATGGGATTTCTTCCAGCTGTGTTCCCCTCCTGTCTCCCATCCCCTGATCACTGCTGTGTGCATTTAAGCCCTGTGTGTTCTCCTGCCTGTTGCTGGTTCGTCTGCGTTCATGTCCTCAGTTATTCTGAATGATTTCCCTGCGTCTGTCTGCGTGTCTCTGTCCGGTTATCATTTCAGGTTTGCTTTTTAGTTTTCCCAGTTGAGGTTACTCTGTTCTGTTTCTCACCTTGTGTATTTGTTCCACCTCCCTCGATAAAGCCTCCTCACTTCGGAGGTGCCTGCGTTTTGAGTCCTTAAATAATTCCACACGACTGCTGCCCCAGCCGTGACAGTAGGGTTTGGGAGATCAGTATATAACAGAACGTCAAAGTGGATCTTTATGCTGACTTTGAAAAATCCAGTAATTCAAAAGAATGAAATGAGTCAAGCGTAAACTGAACTCATGTTACTCTGTTCTTCAAAGCAAGGAGCAGAGAGAGAGAGAGAGAGGTGGAAATCAGGTGGACTGAAAGATGTTTTACCAGCATCTAACAGCAACACTTGTTCCTGTAATCACTATCAAAACTGTTATTGGGGAAAAGCCTTGTTCAAACCACCTGTTCA